CGCGCACGCAAACACACACACACACACACGCAAACACACACACACACACACAAACACACAAACACACAAACACACACACACACAGACAGAGAGACAGACCAAGACCCACAAACATACACGAAACAGAAATGCACACGCCGTGTCGAACAACATTGGCACCGCTCCTTCAGCAGCGCCGCTGCGACACCAACAGCTGCAACAGCAAATGCGACGTTGTCCTGCACTCACGTGCGTTCGTTGAACACTACTGAACGGTTCACAGCAGTTGCGTTGAAGACTGGTCTGTCTATCAGTCTATCATGTTCCAGCCTTGGCTGACGTCTGTCTTGGGAGTTCAGCTCGCTGAGCTCGGGCTGCAACAGTTGGCAGCGTTTGCAGCGCGGGCGCTGCAGGAAGGAAAGCCGGAGCCAGCCTGCAGTGTTCCGTTGCGACCTGAGCCTGGGACCTTTTTTGGAGGGACTTTCCTGCTCTGTCGGCACACGCAGAGTGATGGCCAAGTCACCGCAGCGCAACAAGCCCCAGCAGGAGAGCCAGCAGCCGCATGGCAATGGAGGATTCTACGAAGTTCTAAGCACAGGCAGCTGGATTTGGGAAACCGTGCACAATGCCACTACTTCTGGCATGTTCTAGCGTGCATCGTTGCAATGAGCACAATACCCCATGCGGCTGTGAGCCCATGGGTTCTCCGAAATCCCAGCAGACAATCAGGGTGCATCCTGCCGCATGATGCAACTATGACGAAACATGGCATCACCGAAAACAGTCGCCGGAACCGCATCTTTGTGGCTGGAACGTTCTGAGTTGTGACTCAGTAAAGAAACTGTCACTACAATGTCAACACTCTTTTCGGCCATTCTTGGAAACTGGCCTCTGCTAGTCCTAACTCCGCGCTTCTGATCTGCTCCTGGGTGCAGCCTGAGGTCTCCCTGCCTCGAAACCCGGAACGGGCATGCCCAACTCTCTGCCTGCGGGTCCAATCTCTTCAACTGAAAATCTTACTACGCCAATGCCCTAGCATCTCCAGCAGCAGCTGCAGTGCATGCGGTACCAACACATCCATTCGTATCTGAGAGGCACTTCAAACTCAAAGCAAAGCTCATCCTTTACATTCGGTCTTCTTCAGCAAAGGCTCTAATTCTCTGCAGTGGCTGCTGCATCTGCGGCCTCGGGACCTGACAGTGAAAAGGCGACAGTTCGGAAACTGGTGGTCCTTTCAACGGAAAAACATCTCAAGATGTTCGAGTTCAAACTGCCGAGCTGTTTCTGACTTGGCCGCTTTGTTCAGGCGCTCGATCGGAGCAAACCGTTTGAAAAGTATCTACATGACCTAAGTTTTGGACCATTGCAATGCAACTACCAACAACACGATGCAGAAACGTTTGCAATGTGTTGGCTAGCAGCTAGCACTAGTGCCCGAATGACTCGAGCGATTTTCGCCGAAGGTCACAACGGAGAACCTAGTTACCTGAGCTGCAGAAGCCGCTGGTCGCCAGCCTCGAACTCAAGGAGCCAGGTCATTACATCGAGCCCGGCAAGCCCGTCAAAGCACAGGAGACTATCCAAGAATATCAATATCATACTAGCTGCCAGCTTCCTTGTTCCGGATGATCTTCGAACAGAACCAGGCGATGCAGACATTGGACAAGACTGCCAGGCATCCCGTGTTATCCAACCGTCATGGACTCCCTACACATGTAGCGTTGCGTTCGGTTGCTTTGGCATGGCAAGAAACAGCACGTCCTTAGACCATCAAACATTCTCCGACAGAGCGGCCTGGGCCGAAGCAGGCTTCGGCAGGTTGTGCAATGCCCTGGCGGTGAAGAAGGGTTTGGGGTTTGGCCGTCGCAGTCACCCCAGAATAAGCATCACACCACACTGCTCGTGAGGCAGCGATATAGCTCCAGAATGTAAATATGATTGTGCTGAGCCCCAGCTCCAGGACATTCTTGGACAGTCTTAGTTGCAGCAATGCGGGATCAACACAAGTGCTGCTGTTTCTGTGCGATAATCGGACTCGGTGTGGTAACTGCTTCGCTTCTTCATCACTCCCAATAAGGACCGTCGTATTACCACATTCTTGGTCAAAGTATGCCTGCTGAGGAAGCCAGTCGATGCAGGAGTGCATGCAAAGGGCTCCGAAGACATGCCGAACACTGGGATCCGGACGGACTGGCCAAGCCGCAGGCGGAACCTGACACTTGTCCTACATGCATTTTTCGTCAGCTTGATTATTGTCACCGTTGCAGTCACTCCCAGCAAGTAAAGCGTTTTGCGCCTCGGTCTGCATGAGGCTTCACAGACTAAAGTGCCAGAGACTTGGACACACAGTGTCTTGGACACGCAGGCAGTGTATTTCAGCCGGCACGCCAGCATCCTATTCACGGCAAGTGCATACATGTGCCAAGTCATCTGTTGTAGTTGTACTTCGTCATGGCCAAACGTGCCAAACGCAGAGCTTCCTGGCAACAAATTGCAAACATGCCGCGTGAGATCGGAACAAAGCTCAAGGGCATGCAAGCATGCATGACATCGTGCTTTCGTAAGCCTTGTCGGCATGGTAGTCATAGGTCTTTCGAAGGGCCACTTCTGGAGGAGTGTCTTTGGGACCCTCCACTTGGTCCTGCAGCATTGTCGAGGAAGCACGTAGCACCCAACCACTCCCAAGTTCGGGTGCGGAGCCAATCCACATTCAGGAATTCAAGCACCCGCAATCTGCGGGTTCGGCGCGAGTGTAGGCAAGGCGGCTGTTTCAGCACTCACAACTAGTCAAGCAGGCGAGGATCCAAGTACCAGAGCGATCAGCAAGGCGGCTGTTTGGGATCGACCGCTTTGGGGGGGCAGTTGCTGGTTGGCTGGAACAACAAAGCTGCTGTCGTGTTCGTTGCTGATTGAGGTTCATAGACATCTCCAGACCTTTACCTTTGAGACAGTTACATCGTGACACTCCTCAATCTCGTACAAAACTTCGCCCAATCACCACTCTGCATCCGCATCATTCCTCCTCCAAATGCACCTGATCGTCTGTGCCACCGGCGCTGCCATCATTACCACCATCCTCGCCGTGCCCATCATCTACGAAAACGTCATCATCAACCGCTCCTTCCTCGGTACTCAAAACCTATTCGATTTCATCATCACCTCCAGCAACACGATGACGATCTCACAAACGGCGGCACCACTTACGCGCAGCTCTGCGCATTCTTTGTCCTCGTCCCGCTTTTGCATGTGCTTTGGCAAATCCGGCCAAGGGATGATGTGGCCAGTCAAATGGGAGATTCGGATGGCATCACCATCTTCTGTGAAGGTCAACCCGACCTGGGTTTACCAAAAACATTTCCAAGACTTCCTACAAACTCTGGTCGGCAGTGCCGTTGAAAAGGCACCATGACTTCCCGGTTCAAAGCTCGAACATATCTCAATCTCGACTGCCCAGCTGCTCTTGTAGGCCTGCCCGCTGCAGGATCGATCAAAGCGCAATTGGAGTAGTGAATCTTTTTCTCGATGAACTTGGGACTCCTTAACAAATGCCCCATAAAAAGAGCGCCTACACGTACTGCCGCCTGTGCAGCGAAGACACCCCTCGTCGTCGAGCACCTGCTCGATTCAAGGCTCGCGCCGGAAAGCAATCAGCGAACAATTCCGAGACACTTCTTCTCCCATGCCGCCTTGCGAAGATTGAGGCCCTTGACCTTAACCATGTTCCGGCGGTGGTCGACCATCAAGACTTCTCCGGTGGATTTCTTCTCTTTTCCTCCAGTGGTTTGCCAACCCGGCACCCTCCAAGCACGAACTTTTAAGCTTCCGCAACACGCAGTCAAACATACTGCGCAGCAACCGGCAGCAGCCCATATGTCGGAAGACGGTCTGCAAAGCTAGAAAAACCGTACTGGGAGCATGCTGGCAACATGTCTGACTGTCTCTATCCCTCTGTTCGATAATCGAAGTCGCCGGAATTGACAAAAACGACGTCACCCGGTCGAATTTTCCATGTTCGGATCAGTGACCTGAGCAGCAATTAAGTCGGTGCTTTGTCGTGAGCGCCCATGCGGGAATTCCGGCCTTTTTTTTGCCAGCTTCGGCCCACGCTCGTCGAATCTTAAAGCATCTATCCTTCAAGATGCACACTTGCAAGTCTCCCGTCCGTTTTTGCGTGCCAAAGGCCTCGGGAGCGCAGGCAGTAAGCCCAAGCCTTAGCTTTCACAAATCCAAAGATGCCCGCTAGGAAGAAACAAACACGCCCCAACTGAACTAGGCCCAGTTGCCAGGGCCGTTTCGCCCAGCCAGCAAACCCCGAAGTGCAAGCATTGCCTTGGGCCTATGTGACCTTGCTGGATGGCGCATATGGCTCCGTAGGAAGAGGTTGAGATTTTTCCCCTCTCGCGTGGCTGGAATCTATGCCTACAAGCGAGGTTGAGATTGATGGGCGAGTGCGGGGGGGGGGGGGATTCGGGTGTCGGCATGCCCTCCGCTGATGACTGCCCACCATGTTGCTCCAGAGCCACACTCCCGGCGGTTCTCATAGAAACTCGTGATTGCAGTCAGCATGTGGCTTTTGCCTGGACCCTGTCAACGGATAAGAGGGGCTACGCCCGAGCAAGTTTTAATTTTGCACGTGCAATTCTGCACCTGGTACAGCGCAGCTTCCTGGGCTCTGCGTCAGCCTGCAGCGACCGAGAATCCAGCGAGCCACGCCATGCATGCCACATGAACTCACTGCAGCCAGCATGTTATTATAGTCAGTCTGATGGGAGGTTGACTGCCCTACACTGTAGGCATGTGTCTCATCTTCATATCCGCCGGGTGTCAGTGCCTCTGGAACCTAACAACTCCAAACGGGCTTATACCAGCTACTCATACCCAGGGGTCACCTGACTACAAAGTCCAACCTGCACCAAGTATGCTCATGGTTTTGAGGGGCAGGTGTTATGTGAGCGAGGCGGACTTCTTCATAAGTCATTCCGTGGCATGGCAGTGCTGGTCCGACCTTGTCTCAGATTGGGCTCCGTACGGTCTGCAGCCGTCATGTCGGAATTTCAACTTTTGCAGCTGTCTGTGTCAGGATTTGTTGCGGGAAAATGGGGTACAACCAGCACAGCGAGTGTCGTCACTGAGGGGGCCGACGCTGTCGCTCGACCAGGGTAGCCGGCGAGACTGGGTGTTTGACCGAGTCCTGTCACGATATTTCACGACCATCAGGTGGCAAGCCCCATCTACACTTTTTGCGTAAAGGCTGTCAACACCACCTAGACCTGCACTGTCACCGAGGGGCTTCCCACGCCTGAGACACCAGCCATGCCCGCAGGTCGGTCCTGAGAACTCAAACCATCTGGCGCCAAATCACTGCTTCATTGGCAGTCCCCGCTCATCACTCGAAATTCTCGAAGAGATGCTCTCTTGGAAAGCAGGCAAGCACCTGCCTTCACGCGCTCGGGAAAACAGTGGAACGCCTCTCTCTCTCTCTCTCCCTTTTTCTTTCCTTCTTTCTGAAGGTGAAGAGGACAGGGTGGGCACTTCGTATTGGATTGCAGCGAACCCGAAAATGAGAGGGCGTAGTGATACCGACCCTGCCACACGGAGAGTGCTGGATACAACCAACAAGCAAATGAAACAATGCACCATGTCAAGAAAGGGCACTCTCCCGCTCTCCCCTCGCAGATGTCAGATACCTGTGCTACCATGGTTGTGCTCGCTGCCCCTTTCAAGACAAATACAAGTCACGGGATGAACACATCTCAACGCTACCACTCTTTCCTTCACTGGAGGCTTCAGTCTGAAGGCACACGTGAGCAGACTACACACTCTCCTAAACATCAACACTTCATCACAGCTGCCCCTCAATCTTTGCCCGCTCTATCGGTCTGCCCTCAGAGTTCCACGATCACCAGATCGAGACAAGCTGTTTCAGCTGCACCCGCGAGCAACCAGCGAAGTAATCTCCACCATCCTCCACCTCAGTCATCTCGATCCAGGGAGCTACTCCTTCTACAGCTGTAGTAGAGGGCATCAAGCCCATCTCCATGCGTCCAACCACTCCTTGTATGGTTTGGTTTTTCCATCGATGTCGATTTGCAGCTGTGCCTCCAAGTTCTTTAACTCCTTTAGTCTGCAGTGTGTCCGCGGCGGCCTGGTCCGACCAGGGCTGGCTGTCTGTTCTGGGAGTCTTCCCTCGAAATAAAGGCTGTGGTTGATGTCCCGCTTGACTGGGACTTTGCCTCCAATGCCCGGAGCCGGCGTTGCCTTGCCTTATGGTAGCCTGCTGATCTCGGTCTTCAGCTCGATCCGCTCCTGCCTCAAAGTACTCTGCAGTGTGTCTCTATAGCATGTCAGCCAGGGTGACTGATAGGGTTTCGCCCGCCCCTCTTGGAGGGGCATCTGAGCGAGTGACGAAGGGACTTCTGTTGCGGGGCTTCCCCCTTCACTTGACTGGCGACCTTTGGGACAAGGCGCCCCTGAAGCGTAGTTAGTTGTAACCGATAACGAAGGTGGCGCAGCGAATCACCCCCCTTCCGCAAGGACCTGTAGGCTCGCCGACGCCATATATAAGTAAGGAGGTGTGTGGTACTGATCACGTACAGGACAGACCCGCCCGAACTCGTCGAAGGGGGCTTATTTTTCCCGCGCGATGGTAGAGGTCCTTGCACGGTCGGATTGCTCTCCCCCTGGCGAGCCCCGACTCTCTTGCTTGCTTGCTTGGGGCCTGGCCCCCCGGCCCGAAGCCCAACCCCCCCAAGGTTCGCGTCTGTTCGTCTTACAGGCCCTTCTGCGGGTGGAAACGGTCCTGTTCCCCTGTATGCGCCTGCACGACGCCCCAAAAAACACCCCTCCTAAACCATGACCACAAAGCAACTAGGCAGGCGGCACACAGGTCATCCAGGCGTTTCCCGGATGCAACTACAGGCGGAACTTCCGTTATCGCAGGCAGCAACCCCCTTTGAAAAAGCACGAATCTTGAAGGATTTCCACTTACACCGACTGGGTACCCGCACGACTACAAAGGTTTAGGCTGTCGGGAGTGGCCTCTTTCTTTCTCCAGGGTTGTGGTGGGGAGTGGCCTCTCTCTTTTTCTTTCTTTCTGCGGGCCTGAGGGACACTTACTCACTCACTCATTCATTCTCCCATTTGCAGGCTCAGTTGGCTTTCATGTGGATGCTACATGACACAGGGAACCTGGCTCTTTAGACTTTGACTCACAGGTCTGGCACAAGGCGACTACACGACGGTCTACAGCATGCTTGAACAGCAGATCCACGAATGGGCAGCTCAGAAAGTGGCGTGGCGGCCAGCAGCGTTCCGACTGGGAGGCAGACATGCATGCCACAAATGTTGACTTGGCTGAGATACGAACAGGATTGTGAAGCTTGGCAAGCGCGGCAACTTGGGCCCATGCTCGTTTGCTCCGCGGCCTTGCAGACACGACAACATCAAAATGGGTATGGTGGAGTTACCTTGCCCTGTCTTGCCTGATGTTCACCGAAAACGAATGCTTCGATTGCTTCGACACAGCCGATCCCGTCGATGGAGCAACCCAAGCAATCCAAGGCTCGCCTTTGCCCTTCTCATCTTTGCCTTTTCCTGCAAGAGTGCAACTGAACTTCCTGACAAGCTTTCCACGGTCCAAGCGAGACCCGAAGAACACATCGACCAAGTCAAGCTGTACTCGCATGGCAGGAAAAGTTATCTCGAGGCCTCCTTTCTCCCGGCTCTTCCCACCCTTGTCCCTGGCCTTGGCTCTGCAAGGGACAGGAACGCTACATTAGAGTCAGAGGCACGTCAAATGGACTGCATCTTTGTCCTGATTCTGCCACTAGCTCGCGCGCATTCCGAGACTTCTTTAGTCTAAAGTCTTCAATCATGCTGCACTAGCGAGCCTTGCTCAATTGTGACTTTGCTGCCGTTCTATTCTATTCTATTCTATTCTCCGGGGCGTAGGGCTCTGTCTTTCTTTCTTTCGCCAGGGCTGTGGTGGGCTTCACTTCACTTCACTTCACTTCACTTCACTTCACTTCACTTCACTTCACTTCGCTTCGCTTCGCTTCGCTTCCCTTCCCTTCCCTTCCCTTCCCTTCCCTTCCCTTCCGTTCCCTTCCCTTCCCTTCCCTTCCCTTCCCTTCCCTTCCTTCCCTTCCCTTCCCTTCCCTTCC